GGACCACAGGCACCCGCCACAACGCCCAGCTCTTTTTTGGTTGCAGCCGTCATTGTTGTTTGGCAGGCCCCCGGCTGGATTCGAACCTGCCACCTTCCGTGTACGTGGCTGGCGCCTTAGCCACTTGAGCCACAGGTGCTGAGCCTCCAATTTTTCTAAGTGAGAAGTATGAGTATGAGTACCTGAGTCTTTGCTCAGAGTGTCATAATGCCTTCAGTCAAAGGGTTGGCCAAGGTTGTGGTTTCATCTGAGACTGACATGTTCTCTTCCAGGCTTATGTAGTTGAGGGGAGAAGTAATCTTCTTGCATCTGTAAAATTTATAGCAGTCTTCTTAAAACAGAAAAATCTCAGGTGGCACCTGTGGCTCAGTGGGTAGGGCGCCAGCCCCATGTACTAAGGGTAGCGGGTTCAAATCCGGCCCCAGCCAAACTGCAATAAAAAATAGCTGGACGTTGTGGCAGGCTCCTATAGTCCCAGCTATTGGGGAGGCTGAGGCAAGAGAATCACCTAAGCCCAGGAGTTGGAGGTTGCTGTGAGCTGTGACACCGGCACTCTACCAAGGGCAACAAAGTAAGACTCTGTCTCTAAAAATAAAAAGAATAGAAAAATCTCTTACAGGGAAGACTAATGCCTGTTGTTAAGGGGCTTGCCACATTTTTAAGACTGCTAACAGGAATCTTTCTTTGGTGAATTCAAAGTCAACCTGATTAGTGACTTTAGTTACATTTGTAAAATCCCTACATCTTTGCTCTACTGATAGTCCTCAAGTTGCAAACGTCCAACATACATACACCTCCCACTTAACAGACTATTACAATGATTGTCTGTGTTACAAATATCCAAATGATGTATAACTTGTACTTCCAAAAGGAGGCTATTACAGGTAATAGATAAATGTACCTATTCAAACTTCCATACAAATTCAACTTACGAACAAACCTGTGGACCGAATGCAGTGGCTCATACCTATAATCCTAGCACTCAGGGAGGCCACAGGGGGTGGATTGCTTGGGCTCAGGAGTTTGAGACCAGCTTGAGTAAGAGCGAGACCCCATCTCTACTAAATATAGAAAAATTAGCCAGGTGTTGTTGCAGACACCTGTAGTCCCAGCTACTCAAGAGGCCAATGACATTCTACCCGGGACTACAGAGTGAGATTCTGTCTCAAGAAAATAAAAAAAAAAAAAAAAAAGGACAAATCTATGGAATCTATCTCATCTGTAACCTGGAGGCTGTGACCTAATCATGGATATGACATCCATCATACC